CCCACCCCCCAGCCGACACCCCTCACCGAGATGACGCTGTCGCCCTGGCATTGCCGGGACAGGTCTCGGACACCGCCCAGGAAGAGCCTGTTGGTGGTGACATAGGCCTTGCCAGCCTCAATCATGCCGCTGCAGAGCCGGACCAGCTGGAGAGGAATGGGAGGGACAATGGTGGGGTGGCTGAACCTCCTCCAGGCCAACCCTGGGGCACCTGCCCAGGAAGCACAGAGAGAACTGCCCCAAGGTGCGACCCCCCACCCCCAGACTGACCAGAATTTTACTGGGACCTACAAGTCCCCTAGGTGGCCTGGGGTTAGGGCTGAAAGGGGCTGCCACCCCAAGCCTGTTGTCTACAGGATTCCAGAGGGCTTGGGGCTGAGAGTGGCCTCCAGGGCCAGCATGGGACATAAGGACAGTATAGGGATAGAGGCACCACCTGGCCTCAGCTCTAAACGAGGGGTTCTGCCAAAGGCTGGGGACCAATCGAGGAGTCTGGGAGGGGGGCACTGGACCAGCAGTGTGGGGCTGGGGTGAAGGTACCAGTCAGGGAGCCCCGGGTAAGAGGAGCACAGGACCAGTAGTGTGGGGAGGGTCCCCCTGGCCGTCTAAGGCTCACAGGATGCTGAAGACTGTTCGTCCCCTTCACTGTCTCCTGCCTGGGCCCTCAGCCCCCCTCCAGTTGCACCAAGGCACCACTCAGCAGACAGCAGGACTGGACAAGAGGATACATAGGGTCTGGAGATCACTGAGTCTACCCACACCTGATAGGATGAGACTCAGGGCAGATGAAGGTGTGTGCACGTGGCAGATGCATCTAGGACACACAGAGTGTTCACACCTACAGAGGGGGGGCAGGCACCAATCCTCCTGCTCTGGAAGCCAGGCCCCGCCCATTCAGGGGCTCCCCTGTACTCTGAGACCATGCTGGGCATAGGGGCAAAGGCATTGGGCCCTCTAAGTCCCCCTCACCTTGTCCAGTTTGGCTTCGATCTCAACCACATCTGTTTCCACCTCATCAATAGTCGCCCTGAAGCAAGATGAGCCAGTGAGTGGGATGGCTACCCTGAGTGAAGGTCAAGGGGGGGCTTCATCAACCCATGAAGGGGCTAAAGTGGGGAGGGGCCCATCATTGCTACCTACACCCACCCCCCACCTGTGCACTATGATCATGGTGGGGGACAGATCAGGAAACTGAGGCTGGGTGGGGTGGATGCCTGGTCCTGGGAGGAGGTGGGGGCACTCTGACCTGCCATAGCGCATACCCCAACCCCAGGCAAGAAGAGGTCACATTGGCTGTAACTCCCCAACCTGGGGACAAAAAGGCAGACAAGCCATCAGCCACTGATAACAGAGGCCGGGAACCAGATACACAGTAGGGTCCACAAACTCCAGCCCGGAGCACCACAGCAGATGCGGGTCCTGGGGGGCCAACCCTTCCATTCCTTCAGGGCTGGTTCCCTGGGGGCATGGGGGTGGCTTGTGGGTACGAGTTGTCAGATGCCTGCTCAGTCCACCCAGGCAGCACCTCAAGACCCTAGACCAGCTGTGGAGGGGGCTGTCCCCCGGACTACCCAACATCACAACACCATATGGCACACAGTCTGCCCTAAGGAAGGAGTAGGTCAGGCCTCAGCAGAGCCCATGGTCCCCAGGGCAGCCTGACAATGGGCTGCCTGGATTGTGAAGAGTTAACACATGACATCACCAGAGAAGCCACGGTGGAGAATCCCCGGAAGGAAGGCAAGAGGCAGATGGATCAGGCACGTGACACTACCCCCCCCCACTGGCTCCTAGAACAGGAAATTGGGAAAAAGAGCCAGGATCCTGGCTTCTCCCCACCCCCATGGCTGCTCAGCTGGCAAGCTGGGCCCATCTGGCCTCCTAGAGACCAGGACAAGGGGTGGGGCTCAGGTCTGACTGATGCTGGGTCCCCAGGAGCAAGCAAGTGGCCCCACCCTGACAGGAGGTCTGGCAAGGGGATGGCCTCACACCCATCACTGCCCTAGGATTTCCCAGTCCCAGGGGAGGGGCTGGGATCATGTGGGTGTAACTCATCGTTGATTGAGGAGCTGGACAGCAGAGCTCTCCAGGGCTGCCCTAGCAGGGACCTTCCTAGTGCATCTACACCTCTATGAGCAGCCCTCCCCCTTCCCAGGGATAAGAGGACTGGAGTCCTGGCTGGGGAGTGGGGAGACAAGGTATCCAGAGTCCAGAAGCCCTGGCAAGATTTCCCCAAGGCCCCTCCCACTCTGGAGCAGCCCCCCCAAGCAGTGAGCCAAGCCTAGCCAATCACCTTGGGATGGGGTTGGGGCATAGGCGGGGCCAGCCGCCAAGGAGGTGGGGCTGCAAAGGGAGCCACCGCCTGGAGTCCCCCCACCTTCCAAGCACAGCGTGGCTAGGGATGGGGTGGTCTGCACTCAGAGCTGCTGCCTTTGGGGCTGGGGCACCTGGGACTCTGGGAGACACTGGGCAGGGCTGCAGTGTGAGCTGGGAATAAGCCAGCTCCACCCTGGGAGCCCCATGCCCCTCTGCTCTACCCTCCCTGACTGACCCCAAAGATCCAGGCCCTTCTCCCCATGTCTGTCCTGGATTTGTTCCGTGGCCCAGAGGAGGCAGGAGGTGAGGTGCTGGCCCCTCCCTCCCCCAAGCTGTGACTCAGTGCCCAAAGCCCCACCCAGGGGAGGGGGCACACAGAACAAGGGGTGGTGACTCCCCTCTGGCTGGGGAGAATCAGAGATCCTGGCCCACCACAAGTCTTGGAGCTGCCAGGCTCTACCCAGGCTGCTCACAGCCCCTTCCCCTGCCAGAAATAGGCATCTACAGCCACATCATGCTGGGCCCACTTAACAAACACCCACCACCCACCGCCTACCCCATCCTGTCCAGAAGACAGGCTGCCAGGCAAGTTCAGTTACACTCTCAGACAGCACCTGGGGTTGAGCAGAGGAGACCCAAACATGGCCCTCAGGGCACACGTCCAACCCCAACTCGATGGCAGCTCCAACCCTAGCCCTGCTCCTGGGGACTAGGTTCTGAATCATCCTCACCACCCCTCATCCCCAGTCGGCACTTTCCCAGGCAGCCCTTTCCTACTGGGAGGAGCTAGCCAGACAGCCAGTGAATCCTCTAAGCCACTGTGGGAGGGAAGGCCCAGGGCAAATGAGGTGTGGTGTTCCTTGGGTCCAACTGGTCCCTTCATGTTCAGGGCAAGGTCAGCCCTGACCCATCCACTCTAGGAAGGGGAACGTAAGACTTCAGATCTGGGACCAAGACTTCAGATCTCCACCAAGGGGCCCTGGCCACACAGACACCACAACCCAGACTGGCCAGACAAGGACAAGTTGGGGCCAGAGGCATGGCATACCTGAACTGCCCAGGCTCCCTTCCCTCAATCATTAGAGACAAAAGATGGGAGAATGTAGAGGGTCACCCCCAGGCCCTCTGCTCCATAGCCTGGGGCTACTTTGGGCTGCACCCTGGGAAACCCCCACTCCAGCCACCAGAGGCCTTCATGGCAGATGGAAGGCAGAATCCAGGAGTCCATCCGGTGCTGATGACCACAGTTCAGATGACCACTGTGCACTCACATCCAGGCCCCTCACAGACATATCTCCAGGGCCCTACCATACAGAGTCATGACCAAGTACACATATGCACAGGAGCATGTTACACATGCTCACGCATGAGCACATGTGGCACGCATGCAGTGGCACAGTGCAGATACAGTGCACACACACGCAGACATGTACATCAGTGACAGGACACACATGAACACGTGAACATGCATATCCAGTGACACTGCCTGTGTGTGATAAACACGCTGTGTGTATTTTACACAGAGAGATGGCCCATGCACACACGTGCAGGCATGCATCACACATGCACATGTGTGTATCTGTACGTCTGCCCTGATGCAACTCACCCACACATTCATGCACTCAGGGTTAGAGGGCTTTCACCTCACAGACAGTGTGCACGGAGAGGCAGAGCTCACACACATGCATCCCGCACAGGTAAGATGCACTCAAGCAGGTGCACACCTGTGAACACATCAGCACCGAGCACAGAGGACCATTGGCACCATTTGCTAAATGTCCAGTGAGTAAGGCAGAGTGCACACTCATGCATGTGCCTGTGAAGATGTGGTATACACAGGTCTGCATGCCTACATATCTACGAAAGATAAACCCACACTCATGGGTGAACACAGCCCATAATCCCCCCTACCCCTGTCCTTTCCGTCCAGTAGGCTCGAGTAGCCCCCACCCTTCCAGGCCCTCTAGGTCATGCAGGCCACTCCTCACCCCAGCCAAGCTGCCAACCCCAGGCCCAGTCATGGCTCCAGCTGCCTGTCTCCCATGCACCATTGTAGACATGCGGAGCAAGACTGAGACTGAGCTCCAGATGGCCCAGGACAGGGCCAGAGCAGGACCCAGTGCTCATGAGATTGTAGACCCTTCTGCTCAGCCTGTGTGGGTGGCCATGAAGGTGCAGACACAGAAGGGGTGGAAACTCCCAGAGGTGGCCGGGCCCACAGCTACCCAGCCGGACAAAGATGCGGGTGAGGGGCTGCTCCAGCCCCCAGGCGTCGCCCCGCCCCCAGCGCACACACTCTGTGAGAGATGACCAGCAGAAGAGGCATCTTTTGTTCTAGTCCCTCAGGGCTGATGGGGGGGCACAGGTAGCGGGGTGCAGGGCGGGCCGCGCAGCCGTGGGGTTGCGGGCTTTGTCCGAGGCGTCGTCCTCCAACCTCTCAGTCACCGGCCTGGTCCACCAGGCTCTGCCCGTCATGGCACCGACCCTCTCCCTCCCCTACCAGGCACAAAGGCACATCGACGCCCCTACCCCCGCCGCCCATCCCCCGCCCGGCGCCCTAGTGCCCAGTGGGAGGCGGCTGGGGTGCCAGTCCCGTGGCCACAAAGGGGCCGCGCGCGTCCCGGGTCGGGCCCGAGCACCTGAATCGCGGAGAGTCCTTGATGCACTCCTCGAACTCCACCGTCATGGCTGCGACGGCCGGCCAGCTCGCTGGTTCAGGACCGCGGCGCGCCGAGCGGCATCCCTGGCCAGTCCGGCCGCCGCCCGCTCGTCCCGCCCGCACCGCACTCGGCGTCCGCCCGCCCGCCCGGAATGAGGCCGCGGCTGCCCCGCCCCGCCTGTCACCGCTGGGGAGCGTCGCCAAATTCTGCCTCCCGCGCGCGCCGTCCGCTGTCACTTCCGGGGAGCGTCGGCAAACTCCGCCGCCCGCGCGCGCCGCAAGCTATCCCTGCCAGGGAGCGTCGCCCCCGCCTCTCCCTGTGGCTTTAAGCACAGCCGACTCGGACCCTGATGCCCAGCTGGGAGAAGTTAGGCGAACCCAGTGCAAATCGGGCTTAGGGAGCTGTAGGTCGGGGGTGGGAACTGCCACCGCCCGCTGCAGAGATCCTCGCCATTGCGCACCCATTGCGCAACTCGCAACTCTGGCCGTTTGCAAAAACCACTAAGAGGGTTTGGCCAGAAATCAGCGTGGGGGAGAGGGGGAGGGAGACGGTGAGAAGAGAGGAAGGGAGTGAGTGAATGAGTGAGTGAATGAATGTAAAAATGAGCAAGTGAATGAGTGAATGAATGGAGTGAGTGAGTGAATGAAGGAGCGCAGGAGCAGGCCAGTACTGTGTACCCGCTCCCCAAGCCTGTGGCGCAGTGGTTAAGCGCTCAGCTGCAAACCTAAAAGTCCGCGGTTCGAACACACCGGACGCTCCACGGGAGAAAGATGTGGCAGTTGGCTTCCATAAAGATTACAACCCTGGAGATCCGGTGGAGCAGTTTCTATTTTGTCATTTACAGTCAGTATGAGCCGGAATCGACTCCAGGAAAAGGGGCTTGCTTTTGGTTCTCCAAGCCTGATCCCGCCCCCAACTAACCCTCACCCCCCAATATTGGGCGGGTGGTGGGGCGGGGCGAGCACACAGGCGCAGGCGCGCCTGGGGGGCGTGACTCGGGAGCGTGCGCGCTCTGTCCGCCACCCCTGCCCGCGTGGTTTGGTTAGGTGGCGCTCGGTTCCGCCGCGCCATGGGCGCGGTACGCGCGCGCTACCTCGTGTTTTTCCAGTACTTGGGCACGGCCTTCAAGTACGTCCCGCGCGGCCAGAGAGAACGAGCCCCGGGCGGGGCGGGAACATGGGGCGCTAAATTTAGGCTTGGCGCGCTGAGGCGCGCCTCCGTACCGACACGGGATCCAAACATTTGGGGGAAGGAAACGGATTTGTTTGGCATCCGAGAGCGGGCAGGGCTGTGACCTTCGTCTGCTTCTGTCCTCAGCGGGGTCATGGCGGTCAGGGGCTCCCAGAGCGCTGTTGGCGTCCAGAATTTCCTGGAGGTGAGTCCCGTTGGACGACAGGAGGAGCGAGACCCAGAATGTCTCTGTGAGGGTAGATGGGAGCTCCACGGGTGCCTGCGGGACGGGAACCCTCCTCTCAGCTTCTCCCTGCCGCTCTCGCGGGCCCAGCTGCTCTATCCTGCAGGAGGCCGCAGAGCGGCTGAATTCCATGGAGCGAATCAAGTTTACCATCTCCAGCCGCACAGATGCTGGCGTCCACGCCCTGAGCAACTCCGCGCACCTGGATGTTCAGCGCCGCTCAGGCCTGCCACCCTTCTCTCCCAAGGTCCTGACTCAGGCCCTCAACACCCACTTGAGACACCCGGCCATCAGGTGAGCCCCACGACCTGCCCCCCTGCTCTGGTGGCTGACTTCTGCCCACTGCAAACTGGAGGTCAGGAAGGACTTTGTGTCTGGACAGAGCCCCTGAATGGTGGTGAGTGTGGCCCAGAAGCTCCTCCAGAGCAGGATGGCCAGGTCCTTTTCCAGCGCAGCCCACTGTGCTCCACAGGGTGGTGCAGGCCTTCCGGGTGCCCAACGACTTCCATGCTCGCCACACAGCCACATCAAGGACCTACCTGTACCGCCTGGCCACTGGCTGCCGCTGGCCAGACCAGCTCTCCGTATTTGAACGAAACCTGTGCTGGGCATTGCAGGCTGAGTGAGTGAGAAGGGGAGGGGGCTGGCAGGCCCACCTGGCTGGCCCTCCCACCTGACTGCACTCTTGCTCCTCATGCACCAGCCTGGACGTGGCCGCCATGCAGGAGGCTGCCCAGCACCTCCTAGGAACCCATGACTTCAGTGCCTTCCAGTCAGCTGGCAGCCCAGCCAGGAGCTCAGTGCGTACACTGCGGCGTGCCACTGTTTCCCCTGGGCCTGCCAGCCCCTTTGTCAATCCCCAGGAGAACAGGTGAGCAAGGGGCTGTGTCGGCTATTCCTTCATGGCCACCAGCACCAGTCTGAGAGTTGGTAGTTGCTGAAAGGAGCCCCAGCCCCTCAACCCACATGCAGGCAGTGCAGGGTCAGGCATGGAGGCTGGAGGAGGTCAGGGCCTCAGACACCCACCAGGCCTAGCTAGGTGGCAGTCACTGATTATCCAGCTGGAGGGTCGTGAGCCTGCAGCTGTGGCCTCCTCCCCTGGTGGGGTCTTTGCCAGGCTCGGGACAGAGAACAGAGAATGCTTTCTCTCCATACCCCCACCCCATCCTGGGCTAGTGATCCAGTGATGGGTTTTGGCAGCTGCTGAAAAGATCCCATGGGGGGAGAGCTCTCAAGACTGATGGTTCCGGCCCAGCCCAGCAGGGGTGGGTTCCGCTGCCTCCGCTTGCCTCTGGCGCCTCCGGGCAGGTGGTAGCTACTGGGGCCAGCTCTAAGGGAGGAGGGACTTCTGCATAGGGAACCCAAACTCCTACCAAGTGTGGGCTCAGGTCTCCAGCCAATGAACCAGCCGGTTCCTACCTTCCCCTCAACCACTGTGGACCCCTGGCAGGACCCTGGCCTCTTAGAGTCTTTCTGAGAGCCCTGGGGCCAGCCTGGTAGTAGTACAGGCCAGGCCACGAGGTCAGCAGCCAAGTTCCCCTACCTCCAGCAATCTGGCTTGTCCCCTTCCAGGAGCCTGTTTCTGTATTTACTCCCCCTCCCAGTGAACTCACTTGGAGGGGGGGCGGTTGGTTAGTGAGGGTTCCTGGAGCCTAGGAGCCATAAGGACCAAAGCTTGTCTGAACCCATATCCAGCATTTGGTCTTGGCTAGCCATTGCCCACCCCCCCATGCCATACACACCCTGCTTGGTCTCACTTGGAGGCTGCAGGGCTGTCTTCAGTCAGACATTGCAGGACATCACAGACCTGTGTCCTCAGGAGCCTACGGTTCTGGAACCTGGAGTTTTGAGAGCCAGTCCTTCCTATACCGGCAGGTGGGCTTTGTCCTAGGCCGGGGCAGGGATAGGTGGGAGGGGTGAGTGTCCCGAGCCATCACAGCAACCTCGCTTTGGGATCACAGGTACGGAGGATGACAGCAGTGCTGGTTGCTGTGGGGCTGGGGGTACTGACACCTACCCAAGTGAAGGTGATCCTCGAGAGTAAGGACCCCTTGGGCAGGGATCAGACACGTGTGGCCCCGGCCCATGGCCTGTTCCTGATGGCGGTGCGGTACCCAGGCCTTGGAAGCCTCGGTGAGAGATGAGACATAGGACTGGGAGGGGCTGGTTGTGTCCCCCACTGTATGACCTCTCCTGGGGAGGGAGTGGAGACACTGGTATTTTAGAAGCAGTGCTGTCAGTCCTCTTCTCTTCCTAGCAGATGGGAGTCTGGACTGTGCCCAGTGGGAAAGCCCAGCCAATCCAAGAACCCCAAAGATGGACATCCTGTGTGAAAGCTCTGGGTGGGGGTCCGGACCACCATATTCCTGGGTACCAGGAAGCAGCCACTGCACAGAAGAGTGAGCCCTGTCCTTCTGTACACAGCCAGGCATGTCCCACAGCAGGCCCAAGGTTCCTGGCCTCTGTGCCCTGCAGGCCAACAGGATGGAAGCCACAGCTGGCCCTTGACACCGGTCAAGGTCAGGCAGTGTGACATGCTGGGCCCAGCTCTGAGTACCACCATGCCGTGCAGACCCGCTCTGTCACAGTCACCAGGCTGCAGCCTTCCTGGCCTCTTATGTTAACCATGTGTGTCAGGGGGTGTCCTCAGTTTCCCTGCACTCTTCTTGAAGCCCAGCACCCACAACCCTGGTGCTATTGTGGAACAGAAATATGAATGTTCCCTGTTGTCAGGCCTGACACCCCACGTACAGTTTCACTACAGTGAGCATCAAGAAGGCAGCCCCCAGAGGCTGATGTTTACTGGAAACTATCCCCATTTCCCAGGAGGCCCAGAGAGACAAATAAAGGCCCAGAAGAGGCAGCAGAGCCCATTTATTTCACTGGAAGTGCCTTCTTGGCAGGAGTGCCCACACTAGGCCTTGTTCCAATGCTGGGAGGTCAGAGGCTCTGCTCACCCAGAAGGACATAGCAGGCAGACTCCCAGGTACTGATGCTGTCCTAGGGGTGGAGCCTGGGCCTTCAGGAGGTGGAGGCAGAGGTGGCAGGTCTGGTGGGTCCTCAGCTAGGAGCCTGGGGAAGGCCCTTCTTCAGCAGTGATGTGAGGTAGCTCCCCAGCTCCTCATCCTGCAAGAAAGCAAGGGGGCAGCTACAGCAGGCCCTGCCTGCCCTCAGCACTGCTGCCCCAGGAGCACTGCGTCTCTGCAGCCACCTACCTGGTAGGTCCAAGAGACCAGCAGCACCTTGGTGCCTGGGTCCTCTGAGTGCGCAGCTGCTTGGATAAGGATGGACTCGACAGTCACCGAGCCATCTGGCAGGTGCTGCACGCAGTGGTCCTTCAAGATGCTGTGGGAAGGGGGTATGGTGAATGCTTGCCCTAGGGCTGGGACAGGGCAGGGGGCTGGGGCAGGGCTGTCACCTCTTGAGGTGGCTGTAGACACGCATCACTGTCTCCTGCTCCTTTCGGGCATCATGCAGGTGTACACGACAGGTGAAGCGCAACTGGTGCTCAGCCAGTCCCAGCTCTTTGAGGGCTTGTTCTGAGGATACCAGCCGGAAGTTCTGCAGGGGCAGGGCAGGACAGGGTCAGGGAGCATGGAGTGTGGGAACACAGGGTCAGGGCCCCCTTCTTGTACAGGGTCCATCCACCTGTACTCACACTGTCCTTCATGATCAGGGTGCCCTGTAGCAGCCGGGGCTTCTTTGCATCGGGGAGCAGCCCTATGGGCAAGAACCATAGCTGCAAACTGGGAAGCTGCCCACTCTGCTGTCCAACATACCCTACCCTGCACCTTGCTGCCTGCCATACCCTGTGCCATCTCCCGCTTCAGCAACCCCAGTGAGATGCCCACAGGGATGCTGGGGCTCGTAGGCAGAGTAACCGTCTCGCCATTGGCTGGCATGTAGCAGTTCATTCCTGGGCAGGTAGGAAAAGCAGGTATCAGTCCAGGCCTGGCCAGCCCTGCCCATAGCTGGCCCTGCCAGCACCCCCTTCCACAGTGGGCTCCCCTCTGCAGCAGGCCCTTGCTCCAGCTGCCCCGTCCAGTGCCTACGGAACTCCTGCTCGATCTTCTGCTTCAGGAACTCCATCTTCTTGGCCTCGCCATGCACCAGGAGCACGTGCTCAGGCTCCGCCTGCCCAATGAGCTGCATGATGCCCTTGGCATCAGCGTGTGCACTGAATGACATGTATTCCACCTGCATCTTGACCTCCAGCTGCAGGGCAGATTACAGTGGTCACCACCACCACTGGGCCCTACCCACCCCAGGGGTTGCCGCCCACCCCACCAAGCCCCTGGGTGGAGCAGATGCTCACCACCTGCCGCCCCTCCATCTCCAGCTTGCGCTGCCCACTGAGAATCTTGTGCCCTACGGTGCCCTGCACACAATAGCCAGGCATGATAACCTGTAGAGGCCGGAAGAGAAACGGAGTGTGTAGCACCTGCAGACCTGCTGCCTCAGGCTCTTCCCACCTGACCAGCAGACCCCACCCGCCGACAATCCCTGCAGCAGAGCCTACCAGGCTCAGGGTCTCCTGCCCGCACCACGACGGCTGGTGCGTAGGAACCCCATTCCTAGACCCTTACCATGTTCTTCTCGTTCCCCGCCCACTTCCGGAAGATCTGCAGAGACTGACCAGCGTGTAGCATCCCTGGTGTGGCAAACACCACCTGGGGGTGGGTATGGGGGTGGTCAGTACACAAGGGCACCCCCTGGGAGTCTGGATCCACCACAGAACCAGCCAGGCACAGCACCTCCCAGAGCCTGACTCAGCCCCTTGCTCCCATCTGGAGTTTCCACTGTTGTCCCGTCTGGTTCTCTAACACATGTATGTGACTCCCCCAGGATGTCAGCATGCAGGATCCCTCTCTCCCCCACTGCCCATCAGTCCCATGCAGGTGGACACGCAGACCCTCAGTCTAAAGCTCCCAGCCTTGTCCCCAGCATCAGGCACAGTGTGGCAGCCCCTGCCCACACCCTCCCTACCAAGTCCTCACCATTGGGCCTGGGTTGTCTGCAAATGCTCGGTCAAAGGCCTTGATGTGCTTGAACTCAAACATGTTCCTCTGGACAAAGGTTTTCCGGATCTTCTGGTTGGTCCAGGTGATGAAGAGCTTGTAGTAGTGGTTGGCCTTCTCAGTCAGACCCGTGGAGAAGTAGATGGGTGCCTTCAGGTTCATTCGCTCCCTGCAGACCCACCCAGCTCTGTCAGTACAGCAGCCCTGGGCACCCTTCTCCCACATGGCCAGACCAGTCCTGACCACACCTACCAGAAGGTCTCCAGTAGGATGCAGAGCTCCTGGGCGCGGCCTAGCGCAAATACAGGGATCAGCACCTGGCAAGGCACGGCGGGGTCATGGGGGCTGGTGAGGCAGGAAACCCTGGCCACACCCACAGCATGGCAGGCCATGCAGTGCTCACCATGGCCACCCTCACAGGAAGCAGCCAGGCCACCCACACTAGTGGGTCTAATAGCCAGAAGCCCTACGTCTCAAGGAGGGCAAGACCAGGCACCCTTGGGGACTACAGCTGCATAGACCCGAGGGCCTACCCACACTGTTGGCCAGTGATCACCTTCCCACCACGTTCCACAGTCTCATGGACCTTCTTCAGGAAGTCCCTCTCACGGCAGCGCTTGGAATCACGGATGGTCGTGGCATATGTGGACTCCGTGATAAGCAGGTTGGGGCGGCACCGGTCGATCCAGGCAGCCCTGGGGCAAAGGTGGGAGAAACTGTTCCTACAGTGCAGGCCCCTGCCCATCTCCTCAAGCTGACTGGAGGGAGTCACACAGCACCATATGCCCACAGGATTGAGGGCAGCTGGCCCCAGCCCCACTCGGTCAGCAGCCATATGGGTCCCTCCCACAACGAGCCAGCTTCCTGTCCAACTGGTCCCAACAACAGGGGCATCAGCTCATAGAAGGTAGGGAGCAGAAGGAGGAGGAGGCAGCCCAAGGGTGGAGGAGATGCCCAAGGGATACTGGTGTGGTGCCCACTGGTTTCTCAGGCCTCCCAAGGAGGCTGGGCTCCAGGGGGAGAACCCCCACCAAGTGACACAAATGTACTGGCTACTCACCCCAAGTGTCGGTCCGGAGTCATGTTATAATCACCCTGATGGAGAAGAATGGTGTTGAGGAGGGGCCCTGTCCCATTGAGAGCCCACAACCCTACCATGGCCCAAAGCTTCCACTGACCGTGTAAACCACAGACTCTGAGCCCACTTTAATCTGGAACATGGCTGCTCCTAGCACGTGGCCCGCATAATAGGCCTTGATTTCCAGTTCATCATCCACCTTCGGAGGGAGAAGACAGAGTTCAGGCCTGAATGCTGTGCTAGGCAGGATGGCAGTCAAGAAAAGAGCAGAGGGGCTGGGAAGGCCAGTGAGGAGGTGGGAGGGATGGGGGCTGGCAGCAGATCATATCACTCTGAGCCTCCCGTTATCTTGTTTTTCACACACAATGTCCAGTACTTGTAATTAACCAGACCCAAGAGAAGAGATGTGAACAAGAGAAACCACAAACTAAAGAAATGGGCTCCGGGTTGATATAATCAGAGCTAAAAGACAGGATGAAGAATTTGGTAAAAAAATTAAAAAAAAAAAAAGCAATTCTAAGGCCAAAAATTATACTAAACCGAACTAAGGACTCGGTGGATTTTGTTCAAGAGTAGATGACAAGTAACCAGAGAGAAAAGTACTGACGTATTCAAAAGACACATCCAGCACACAGCACAGACAGAAGGATGGAAATGCCAAGGGCAGGTAAGAGATGCAGGTCTGGAGACTGAGACCTGCTGTTCCACAGCCGGAGCCCCCAGGGGCACAGGACCAAGACCGAAGCAGAAGCAACTTCTAAAGCAATCTGATGATAGGCATCCAGCCAGAATTGAGAAGAAGACTTTGAGCTAAATAAGAAGAAAACCAAACACAGGCCCATCTCAGAGCAACCACAAACACCAAAGAAAGAAACACCCTTCCCAACAGCAGACTGAATGGTAGGAAAATAACCACCAGCCTAGCATGCTAGACTCAATGAAACAAGTCCTTCAAAGAAAGAGGGTAAAATAAATACATCTGCAGACTAATGAAAACAGAGAGAACTCAGCCTCACCAGGCAGGAGGTGAACCATCCCGAATAGAAGG